TGATCACTATAACCATTATTTATAAATATCTATATATTCTCCAACTTTTATAATCACTATATATTCTTCGATTGTGTATTGTACTTGTATATCCTTCAATATTTGTATATTGTTCAATATTTGTATCTTCTTCAATCTTTAAGAAAAAGTCCTGGGGTGCTTCTGTGTTGGTCTGGGTTTTTTTGGAGGGGGTGAATCTTCCAAATGGGAACGGACCAGATCATCTCCCAAGGATAAAACATCCTGGGAAAAGCTCTTCTAGCACTTGGTGTGTGTTAAAAACCCCACAGGTAATGCTGATGGGAAATTCTCACCTCTCTAAGTGCAGACAAATATGGTTGAGTTGGATTTCATTTCTATTTTCTTTTTACTCCAGAACTTTTTACCCCAGAACTCAGAATCTTCTTGAGGATGTTTAGAAATATCTTTGCTAGGGCCGAGTTTTGAAAGGTTTCCCACTTCCCTTTGTGCCTGCCGTAAGGGATGATTTATTGTGTGAAAAGATCCATGGCATAACCCTGGTGGAATGTGCCAGGATCGGGTCCTGGCTGCCTCAGAGGGCTCTGCTGGTTTATTCTGCCCAAGGACTTCGTCTCCAGGGCTGAGCACACACCAGGGCTGCATCATTTGTTCCTTATCAAAGCTGAGGAATGAATCAGAACTCGTTTCAGAGGGTGCAGTGGGAGGTGTGAGGCTCACATCAATATTAAAAAACGAAAGAAGAAGAAGGAAAAAAAAAAACCCAACAAGACCGAGTTTGTTGCACCATGCTCGTTCCAATGTTAATTATGGTACTGAAAAAACAAAGGGGTGATGCATTTCTTGGGAAGCACAGGATCAGCAGGGTCCTGCACACAAGGCTGGCCCCAAAATTTGGCCTCTGCTCCTGGCCCTAGTGCAGATTTCTTATGTGACTTTGAGCAAAGCAATTTTGCTGTGTGATCACCTCATCAATTCCAGAATGAGGAGCCTCCTTTGGTCCTGCTCAGAGTCCTGCCAGGAGAGCTGGGGCTGGGGGGATTTGGGTGGCCCAGAGCTCAGGGGATCCACCAGGACACTGTGATGTTCCTAAAGCAGGGGATGGGATTTACACCAGCTCTGGAAACACATCCAGGCTCTCTGAGCTCTGCTCCTGGCTGCTTTCCTGCAATATTTTCCCATTCAATATCAAGCTACAAAGTAAAGACAGAGATTGTAGAATTTCTGATCTGAAATAACAAATCTTTCCCAGTCCTATGTCAGATTTTGTTCCCTTAAATGAGACTCAGCTTTTCATTTCCTCCCTTCCCTCTCTTGGTTGATTAGGAAAGGATTATGAGAACTTTCTCTAAGCATGGCTGTCCTCTAAACTCATCCAAAGATCCACTTATTAATTTAGGTTTTGTGTTCTCAGAGGTAAATGTTTGTGTTTGCAGACCACAAAGCTCTCTGAAATATCAAACTACTCCTCATGTACTCCGACCTCTCGTGCTGACAGGATTGAAGTGCTAATATTGACTTGTTTAAAAACAAAGAAAAATGAACCCCACAACAAAACCCAACACCCAGCAACTCTGTCAACAGCTTTAATCCTCTTTGGGGAGAAAATCACTGATTCCCTGGAGCTGGGCTGGTAAGATAACATCAAAGAGATGAGGGAGTGAATTAAAGCTCAGGTTCAGATTGATATAAAATATTGGGATATTTCTATTTGGCACTCGAAATTCTTGCAGGGCCAGACCAGACCGAGCAGGGAGAGCTCTTGGTTTTAGTTCCCCTTAAAAGCAACATCAGCTTAGAGTATAAACACATTTTTTTGCAGGGAGCTTAGCTGCAAGATCACCAAAAATCTGCTTTCTCTCCATCACTGCACCCTCCTCATCTGCTCTGCTGTGCTGAGGAAAAGCTGTGGCAGGAGGGGTGGGGAATGGAGAAAGGATTTGCCATGGAAAAAAGGGGAGGATGGATGGTCTGCAATAATTTGGAGGCTCCAGATTTATTTACAGACCAAAAGTTTATAGTTTATAATCGTTCACTTTCACGTTGATAAACCTCAATCATTAATTACAGAGGAAGAGGCAAATATGATGTTTTTGATCTTTCTCTCTACTTTTGTCTCTTCCTTTGCACCCCATAAATAAAAGGTCCTTAACTAAATTGCATTTATAAAATGCATTAAATGAGAAAAAACTCCTATTTTTATTTTGCTCGGTGTAGGGTGACGTGGCCCTTTCTATCTTAATGTACAATTGAAGTTACTTTTTGGAGAGTGATTCTTTGTTAAGCACATCTAAAGTTAATCTAGAAACCATGTGTAAAACATGGAAATGGATGATTATCAGCCACCAAAACAGTTTTATCTGAGGAAAACGTGGCCCTTTTCTGCAACTTCCTCATTTTAGATGTTTATTACAATAAGACTTTATCTGCCTGGCTTCGTATTTTTAAAGTATCAATGTAAAGACCTCAAAACCAGTTTAATCCTGAGCTATTTAATGTTGCCCACAGCTTTTCTAAGCTCAATTAAAGCACAGTTAAGGGCAGGATGATAAGCACATATGGATTCTTTTAATATGAGTCTGTATATTTACTTTGGGCTATGAAGCAATCTGCCTTCAGCTGCACTCCGGACCCGCTGTGTACAAATCTCAGCCTGTGCTGCTGCTGCTGCTGCTCAGCAGAGCCCAAAAGTACACACAGGGTGTTCTCAGAGTGAAAAAACCAGCCCAGAGTCCTGCCTGAAGCTTTGGTTTCAGGCTCTGGCCAGCTAGGAGGAAAATAAAGTGGCCTGGTAAATAGCAAAAGCAATAAAAGTACCCATCTGAGAAGGATCAATTCTGTTTTGTCAGATTTAGTCAGATCCTCCTCAATGATGATTTCCTTGTGCTGCCTGGCAGTGAAAATTCCAGGAGCAGAAAGCTCAGGATGGCCAAACGATGCCAATGAGGTTCTGCTCCCCAAAAAACCTCTCCAGCAAGCAAGGCAGTGAAGCACAAAGCATTTCACTAAAACCTCGCAGTGCTGCCCTGCTGCTGGCAAACAGGGAAAGCAAAAGGACACAGGGACTGAGGTGTTCTTGCATCTGTGGTCAGGTTTCCATCCTGGGCTTTGCTCCATCCCAGCTGCTCTGTGCTGTCAGAATCCAAGAAAATTGTGGAAATTTGTGGAATTTGCACTATTTGGAAAATTGTGGCATTTGAACACTTCAAACCCCCCACCTCTGGCACTGCTTTTGCTCCAGCCAAACTCCAGAGCTGGTCCCAGGCATTGTCCTGTCCTCCAGGCTCTCAGCAAACCCAAATGTGTGCTCAGGCCCTGCCTTTCAGCTCCAATTTGTCAGGAAGAGATTTGCTGCTGCATTATCTTAATTCTACCCGTGCAGGAGGTTTCTGAAAAGGAGTTTCATTAGTTTGGGGAGAAACACAACAGGGATATCACAGAGAGGAGAGTCCACGGTTCCTTTGTGCTCTGAAATTCCAGTGGAACCAGTCTCAATGCTTTCCCTGGCTTCACTGGGAGTTGAAGCCCAGCCTGGTGTCTGGTTTTGCAGTCTCAGCTGTTACTAAGCACTTCAGCAGCAGGGAGGATGTCCCAGCGTGGGGCTGGCACTCGGCAGTAATTCAGATATGCAAAATGTGGCTGAACAATGCCCTCGTGCCTGAGAACAGAGCAGGTCAGGGCTGTTTTGGAGGGCAGATGTGCACATCCCTTAATTCTTTCCACTCCACTTGCTCTGGGGTTTGCCTCTTTTTTTGGTTTTTGGAGGAGTCTTTGAAGCAGAGTGAGTACAATGAAGTATTCATCTGATTAATCTGTGTTTTCCCACTGAACTCAGTTTGGTGCATCGTGGGATGGTTCACAGAGTGGATCTGTTCCCAAGAGGTGCCTGGAACACCTGAAAACATTAAATTCCTTTAGTAGAATTCTGGCCAAAAACCCTCACCGGATCCTGCCTTGGTCTTTTTATGGGATGAAAAATTTGGGAGAGCAAATTTTTGGGGTAATTCAACGATTAAAAACTGAACAGCAACATGGGAATGATGAGATCCTGACCTCACTGTGCAGCTCCAGCAAATATTTCTCTGGGAATGAAGCTCCTAAGTCAGTGAATGGTGAAAATTGGGTTTGATTTTTAGAGGGTTGTGCTGATGGTGTGGATGGTAATTGTGATGTCATTAATGCCAAGAACTTCTCCAGGCTCCCATGGACTTCCTTCAGCTTTGCAGGATCTTTTGGAAGGGCTGATTCTCCCTGGGTAGGAAATGTTGTATTTTGATAGAAACAAAACAGAAAAAAAAAAAAGGGGTTTCTTTTTTAAATGAAGGACGTCCTGGCTTAATGGGGCTTGAAGTGTTTACAGGTGTTTCCTCACAAGTTCAAATTTAGTGGCCCCGGGGAGTTGAGATTCTCATAAGGCAGGAGCAAACACTCAAATTTTGGCTTTTAGAAGGGTTGCACATTTAAAGGGCCAGGCCTGGGGGCTGGTTTGGGTATGTGAAGACAAGAGTTGTGCCATGCAGAGCAGCAGAATGTGAGAAAAGAAAAAAAAAAATAAAATCACCCTTAGTGCCACAAGAGGTCCAAATCTCCCTAAAAAAACCCCTTTGCTGCTGTCCAGCGTTTTGCCCTGATTTTGCAAATTTGTGGTGAAAATCCCAGGAGGGGCAGGTCCCACCTTTGATTGTACAAACCCATCTCGGTGGCACCTTTTGAATGCAGAACATCTCCCAGGGCTGCTGGAGCTGCTGAGAGTGGGGAAGGAGGAGGAGAAGAAGAAAAAGAAGAAGAAGAAGCAGAGAGCAAAGGGAAAATGTAGAAGTGCTGTGGTTGGAGGGATGATGATGTCACCTGGCTCAGCGGGAACACGGCGCTTTTAAAAAGCTGAAAGAAACATCCTGACCCTCACTTGTCACATCCCCACCCAGGAGCCACACACACACACACACACACACAGAGCTGAGTTATCCTCGGCCAAGAAGGGGATAAAAAAAACCAAAAAAACAACTCCATCCCACCACAGAATGCACTGGCAAAAATGTAAGTGAGCTCTGATTTGCTTTTCCTACCTGCTGAGGGTTGTGAGGGATAAATCAGCAGAGAGTGGCAGGGGAGGGGATGCTCAGGGATGGCTCAGGAGGCGCCAGTGCTCAGGTGTGATGCTCATTTTCCAGCAGGGACATGAGCTCAGGGCTGCTTTGGTGGCTTTCATCACTATGAATCAAGTGGAAGACTATGATTCATAAAAACAATAACAGGATGCAGGTATTATATCAAAGGTTACGGTGGTTACATAGCAGAAAATTTTCCTTTTGAAAAGTGAAACCTGTGAGAAATCTTATTTCTGTGCCTTTTTTGTTTTTTTTTTTGATATGTACTCCTTTCAGCTAATTAAAAAAAGATCAGGAACAAAGCAGTTGAGGGCAATACAGTTATGACTTTACAGGAAATCAGTTTTCTTGTTTTCAAGATAATTTCACTCCTCTGGGCCCACCTTTGCTGGTGTAGTTTACTGATCCTGCTCCAGGTAGGTGTTTGATTCTTGCAAGGTTTTCATTCTCGCTCTTATCACCATCATATCTCATTTGTCATCAGTAGGTGATGTTCATTTTGGCAACTGTGATGCCACCCCTTGCCTCTCACCCTGCTGTTCCATTAACATAGAATGGTACAACACACCTGAGTGGAAAAATTAATTTCTTAAACCCTTGCCAGTGACTTATCTGACATTACTCATCTTTTTATCACAGCTTGTAGATGTTTTTACTGCGTGTAGTAAACCAACCATGTGTTTTTCTGAGTGTTGAAATCTGCTTCCTCTGGGCTTTTTCCTGCTTTCTTTCTTTTCAGCTGAACATTTTGGAAGCTCAAATGCGTATTGGGGAAGTTTTATTTGGATTTCCCCCTTCACCTTGAGCAGTTTTCAGGAGAAGATGTGGAAAAAACTGCAAGATGATGATTACATCCAAATCCTGATTGTGTCTCAGGAGTCCCTGAATGGTTTATTTGGGTTGGTTTCTTTTTATTCCTGCAGTGACAAAGCAATGCTAACAACAATGCTTTGGGTAGGAGGAAATTGGGAACTGAATATTTTGGGAAGTTAGGGACTGGTTTTATTTTGCTTTTTTCCTCTGACACTTGCAGGAATTACAAGTCAAATGATGTCAGTCATTCCCTGATGATCACTGATAGACAACTCCTGGCCAGCGTCCCCTGAGCTTGTTAATCCTTGAATCTCCCTCCATTTGTAGTTGTGTCAGAATTCCTTTTTCCACCATGGAACTGTTGGAAATCTGATGAATGCTGCTTCTTTTCCAAGCCATTGCAGGGTGTTGGCTTTGAAGGCAGAGGAGTCCTGGAGACTCCTGTGTGATCCCTGGGGCCAGGGCGGGTGTGCAGGTGCCAGATCCCGTGGGTTTCAGTGGAAGTTGGAGTTCCCAGTGGTTCTGTGTCCCCTTTTGGTGTCACCTCTCTTTCCTGTCAATGACACCAGCTCCCATTTCCTGCCCCACCTGCTCAGGCCACCTGTGACCCCGTGGATGTTCAGGTGGCCACACAGGAATTGATGCAGAGGCAGCTCAGGTGACCTGGGAACTTTCCAGACTGAAAGCCTGAGGTTTGGCTCATTTGGTGATGATAACACCAAGGTTTTGGGCTCAATCCCTGTGTGGGCCATTCATTTCAGAATGGATGATCCTGGTGGGTCAGAACATTCTGTGAATCTGTGAAAACCCAAAAAGAACACAAGAACTCTGTCAGGCAGCAGGTGTGACCTCACCTGAGGACATTTCCCAGGGCACCTCCCAAGGGATGTCCCCTGCTCCTTCAGGGGACATTTCCGCAGGAAACACAAGGAAAAGCTGGGCCACTCTGCCACGGCCAGAGGTTCCTGCTGTGTGCAGGAATTGCTGTTTGGGATTCCCTTTGGGCTGGGAATGTTCCCCAGGTCACAGCACGGTGACTCCTGAGCAGGAGCAGGGCCCTGGGCTTCCGCTCACAAAAAAAGCCCAGGGTGGCTCAGCCCGAAAGCCTCCCCTCCCACGGCCCAGGAGAAGTGACTGCTCGGGGCTCCCCAGGATTCTGCTGAAGGGGAACAGCCCCAGCAGCCCCTCAGGGATGGGAAATTCATGGGCAGCACCAGCTATTTCCTCTTCGTTTGTTTTTATTGCTACCTCCGCAGTGAATTTCTTAAAACAACCCCTCCACACAAACGGTTTGTGTTCTGAAAAGCGTGGAAACAGCTTGATGATCTCAAAGGTCTTTTCCAGCCTAGTTAATTGTAATTCTGCAGGAATTTCCGATTTAGGTGCTGGTTTTGCCTTTGTCCAGGTTTTTTGGGTGCTCAGCTGCTGTTGCAGTCACGGGCAGAGATTGAGCTGCTCAGATTCCCTTTACCACCGAGAGATGCGAGTTCACACCTCTGCAAATCCCTTCCCAAACGCTTTTAAAGTGGATACAAAAAGCTTTTCTGCCCATGACAGATGTGGGACTGCACAGAACCACCCTGAAAGTATCAGCTAATGAGACTGAGAGGTGAAACCGTGACGTTCTGCACCTTGTGAGCGATAATTTTGGTAAAACCCCACCAGGAAAGAGGGATAGCACGAAAGTTGAGCCCATCCATGCTTTGCAAAGCAGGTGTCAAACTCTACGAATGACCACAGCAGCAATTCGATGGAAAGCTTGCATTACTAAAATGGAAAGAATATTATGGGCTGGGAGGAATTAGGACCTGAGGGTGAGACCTAAGGTTAATGACACTTTCTGTCTATCTCAGCTTCCCCTTTGCACCAAGGCTTCTCTTATTCTGAAACAGAGAATTTTTAGTGGCCCTCACCACTACATCCAACTCTCATTTGGCACTTGAAAGCTTTTATTATTTTTTTTTTATTAGAATAACCAGAGCAGCAGAGATTGGCCAGCATTTTGTGTCTCCCTTTGATTTTGGTTTTTACCCAAGTAGAAAAATCTAAAATCCACTCTGTATTTGTTCATCTGCAATGTCTTCCTTGAGTGGGAACTCTGCACAGTGCTCTCCACTCATTTAGATCATTTTAGGTGGGAAGGAAATATTTTTTAAAGGACAGTTATCAAAAGCATTCCTCAAGAACAGCACAGGGCACGTGAATTTGCCTGAATCCAAGGCTAGTTCCATTCCTGGGAAATCTTCCAACACCTGAAAATGAAGATATCGGCCATAAATCTAAAATATTCTTTTGTCAAATTAATATTTCACTGACTTTGGTGGTTATAATGCAATGTAGGAGACCTGGTCAAACATGATTCTGAGGTGTTGGTAAGCAGGTGAAATGTTGAGGCTGGTGAATTATGCCCAGGATTCTGCTGAGTTCATTTTCTTGTGCTGAGCAATCAACCAGCACTGAGCCCTTTTTGCCCCTGCTCCGAGCTGGGATTGTTTTAAAGCAGATTCTCTGCCCAGATGTTTGGTGGGTGCTTTGCATTGGCAAAATTTTTACTGAATTCCCCATCCCCAGTGCATTGAGCAGGATAAATGATTATTGAATCACCGAATTATTGAATTATAATCCTCTCCAGCCCAATTTTCCATGTGTTCTCTACAACTTCGAGGGAAATTTGGGTTTTGTCAAATGCACAAAAAAAAGCTGCACGTCCAATCCTCCAAATGTGCAAACCTGGGGCTTTGCAATTAAAAGATCATGAAGGAAGAGATGACCAAATGGAACTCAGATAAACATTTTCTGAGTTGTTTCATGGTTTATTTGGCACTGATGAGGTTATTCATCCTCAGGACCAGCCAGAGAATTATCAGTCAGGTGTGTATTAATTAATTTAGATCAGGACCTGGGACTTGGTGCTCACCAGCCACCCCAGCCTGTGGCCACCAACACAACTGGTTCAGATGGATCTTGGCAGAAAAAACTGGATTTTTGTTTCCAGGGGCTGGAATTGCAGGTGGGTCATGTCAGTGTTTCACCTTTAACTGTTGGCTGGATCAATTAAAATATTAATTAAAAGCAGGACATGCCCTGAAGGCTGCTCAGGGATAGGGATGGAGCTGGGACTTTGGGCAATTAAATGCATTTCAGTACTTTGCTCCCCTGCCCTGGACTGACCATAAAGCAGAGATAAAGATCACCCTGTTTGGTTTTTTTTTTGAGGGAAACTCTGTAATTAGCCAGGAATAAGGACAAGATCATGACCAATGTTGAGTCCCTTGCAATGGGCATGGATGTAAAAAGGTTTTGATTTGACTCTAAGCCTATGAAATGAAGCCTCTTTCTTCTTTTTATTAGCCTAAGTTCACTGTGTCTGATAAAAATGTGATTTGGTCTCCACTATCCAAGCCATTAACTCCAGGCTTTGCTAATTGAAATCTAAATTTTTTTCTTGTTATTTGCAGTCAGCGATTGCTTTTTGGTGTTACTGCAAACAAGAGCAACTATTGTGTTTCTTTTCAATTATTTATTACTCTGGAGGGGTGAAAGGAGGAAAAAAAAAAAAGGGAAAGCTATTTGCAGTGTGATCAGTTGATAAGCTTTATCAGCGTCGTGAGCACAGAAATCTTCTGCAAGAGGGACCAGAGTGACACTTGCTGCTGCAGGCAGGGGCTCAGCAGGACCAGCAGGGTATTTCAAACCGAAATCTGCCTGCTGGGAAATCGCTGTGCCTTGGCTGGAACTGAGCTTGTGCTGGTGTGTGTGAAGGCCAGAGGGGCTGGGGTGAAGTTTAGAGATGTGAAACCCTCCACGCTCGGCTGCCTGCACCCTTCCAGCAGCTGTTCTGCCACTCTCTTCCCTCCGCTTTCAGCAATGCTTCGACCAAAATCTAGGGGAGGATGGAGTTTGTCAATTTTTTTTTTTTTTTTCTTTCTCCACCTGGCCTTTAACTCACATCAATATTTTTGAGAGCCAGGGGGTCTGTATGTGCATAAATGGAGGGGTGACAGATCCCAAGGAGCCTTTGTGGTGCGGTTTGGATGCTCCCAGGCTGAGCTGCAGCCAGGTGTGGAATCCAACATCTCCCTGCTGCTGGCACCTGGCTTTGGGGCCGTTTGGTGCCTTTCCAGCAGCTCTGCTGCTCAGCAGCCACTTTCCAAGTTTGCTCACAAAGTCTTCAAGGCTTTTGTGGACTTTTAGCAAATACATCAGGTGATAACATTGATGGAGGCTGAGCACAGGGGAGGCAGCCTGGCCAAAACATGGAAATGAGCCCAAATGAAATGTGGGAACCACTGCAAAACTCCATGGATTTGGATTCCTTCTCTTCTTTCTTGACTGGAGATGTTGTTTCAAACTGCCCCAGCCTTGGTGCAAATCCAAAGCTGCTGAGGAACAGCACGGGGGTGTTGTGTGGTCCTGGAATTGCAGGGCACAAGCCAGGACACCTCTGCCATCCCTTTAATTTTATTGAATGGAACTTGGGCTCTCGTGGCTAAAATTAAAATATAACAGAATCTCGGTCTGTGATGCTCAGACCCCACACACCCCTGAGCAGTGGAAAAGCAGCTGTGCTCACATTATTTTTATTTCTGGAGGTCAGCTTGGGGGAACCGAAATATGATCTGCAGACTTTGGTTTTTAAAATATTTTTTTCTCTTTAATTTTTTTTTTCTTTTTGGGGTTACACTGCTTACACCGGAAACTCTGAATAGGTATATTTGTCAGCTTTTACAGTAAATTTCTTCTTTCCCATCCCCCAAACCTGGAGCCAGAAACCACCATCCTTCCCCACCCTAATTCTGCAGGGAGGCCCTTTGATCAGTTGGGGATGAGATACTCCCCAAAATGTTCATTTCTGCCACTCAGGCAGCTCTGGCAGAGCTCAGATTTGTGGAGTTGTTGTTTTCATGCAGCACCAAGAACACCAGAGCTCTTTATTATTTGCACTCGAATAAATTAATGCCAATTAAATGTAAAAAGCAAAACGTGAATTGTATTAAAAACCCTTGTGGATGCTTGTATGGAGACTTATAGAACCTTTGTTCTCATTTAAAATTTCATTTTGAAAGCCACAGGATTCATGGGAATGCAGAAAACCTGATTTAAAGAGCCACAAAGGATGTCCAGAGAAAGCCAAGGTAGATCAGGCAAAGGCTGGGAAATAAAATATTTCCTTAATGTGGGTGACAAAGGTGACAGTTCAGTTCATAAATGGAGTTCTGTCTGGTCCTAAAATTATTTATGGTGGCCAATCAAGATTTCATAATTAAATTATGTATAATGAGTTAATAAAAGAGCCAAGCTGAAGGGGAAGAAATATTTTTTAAAAGAAATTAGAGCAGAAACGTTTATTCTGTTAAGTAATTCTTGAGGTGGATTTATGATTGTTTTATTTAGAACTCCATTTTTCTCCTCCCAGGAAGGTGCAACAGAAACATCTCAGTGTGCACAGAATTAAATGTAGCTGGGAGAGATGATCTGAGGTGAAATTATTCATTCCTGTAGGATGTGAATCTAAATAAATGCTCCTGGGGTGGAATAATAGTTTAAAATTCAGATTGGAGCTGGATACCCACCTGCACCTCCAAACCAAAGGCCAGTTGCAATCTTTAAAAATGGAAAATTTGTGTATTTGCACACCAAAGTGCAGTGAAAGGGGCAGGCAGCCACCTCTGCTATCGGTGCCTTTACAAACACAGCTTTGATTTCCCCTGGTTTCCTTCTGCTATCGGCTCCCTCCAAACACTGCAGGTAAAATATGAGTTGTTAATTCTGGCCCTGGCAGAAATGTGCTTCCCCTGCTTTCACTGCTCACGTGGCTTTGGCAGAGGCTTTTGGAGCTGGCTGCAAACTTCGTTCTTCAAAATGGAGCAGCATTTATGGGGGTGTGAGCTGGGAGGGTTTTGGGGTGTAAGATCTGTCATGTTCACCTTCTGGCCAGGCTATGAGCAAAATTTAAAATCATGGGACTGAAAGACAGCTCTGGTCTAGGCTGGGACCTCAGCACCTGCCTGGTCTCAAAATGAGATATTTAAATCCAACTCATGATGTTTAAATGGTTTTCCAAGTGAGGATGTTTTCCTAATTTGGGTTGCTTCTACACCTTCTGCCCAAACAGTGAATCGATTTCTCTTGAATACCCAATCTCTGCTTTTTTATGTGCCTGCCTGGCCAGCAATTCTGGTGTGTCACCTTTTGGGTATATTTGGTCTGATTTTCCTTTTGGGAACGTGTAAAGCTGCTCTGCAGGTCAGTGGCACTGAGGGACACAAAAGAAAGGAAGAATAAAATAAATGTGTTCTTGGTACAGCCACCAGGCTGCCGTGAGGATCTGGGAGCCCTGAAAGGAAAATAAATGTTAATTTTTATTTTTTTTTTCTCAGCTTCTGGCCCAGACCAGCAGCCACAGCCTCGCCCCTACCAAGGTGTCCGAGTGAAGGAGCCAGTGAAGGAGCTGCTGAAGAGGAAAAGGGGGAATGTCCATAATTCCAATGCAGCTGCAGCTACAACGGTAAGGAGAAACCAACAGGAGGAAAACTCTCCCTCAGCAACACCCTGCCAAAAAAAAAAAAACCCCAAACATTTGCATCCCTAAAGCATTTTGCAGGCCGGGTGGTACCTGGCAATGCCATCAATATCTCTTTGGGTGGGGTGATTTTAGTGTGCTGAGCCCCTTCCATCACTTAATGGAAAAGGGAAAGTGCTTTGCACTTGGCAGGATGTGATTCCCAGGCACTGGAGGTGGCCTGGAAGGGGAGGCAGCTTGTCCAGGAGTGGAAAAGAGACCCCCCAGAGCCACCCCTGCCTGTTTGCTGCTGCATTTCTGCCTGCACTTGCCCTGCCAGCAGGCAGAGCTTGGCTGGCTCCTCTCCCAAGGAGAATTCTCTCTGCTAGGCAAGATTTAAACACATTTCAAGGTCCCCTTGAGCTGAGGGGACATTGTGGGTGTTTGGGGTGGTGTGTCCTGGCTGCCAGGTTCAGTTCAGGGAGAATTCAGACCCTGACACTGACAATCAGCTGATAGTGCCTGATATCACCCCTGGATAATGCTTTGTGCTTCTCTAAGTGATTGAATTTAATGCTGATGGGCTTCACCTCTGAATTTTATCTTTTCCTTCTCTCTTCCAGGTTGTTTTGTCCCATCAGCTAGTCCCTTCCTACTCCCCCATGGGTAATGTATCCCTGATTCCCTGTGACCCTCTAGGGAAGACTGAGCTGAGCTGGGCTCTAACCCTGTCCTGTTTTTCCAGGCCAGCCTTGCATTGATGTGGACACTGCTGGCCCTGCTGTGCCTGGCCCAGAGGAAGGAGCTCTGGCCTCTGGGTGGCTTCCCCAGCCCTCTCCCAGTTCCCTGCAGCCCCTGGCTCAGTGGAGCCCTTACCCTGACTACGTGTCCCACGAGGCTGGCAGCTGTCCCTACACTGCAGACATGTATGTCCAGCCCGTGTGTCCCAGCTACACCCTGGTGGGACCCTCCTCCGTCCTCACTTACACCTCCCAGCCTCTCATCACCAATTTTGCAGTAAGTCAAAGACACCAAGCTGGAAATGATGTTAATTCCCACCTTCTAGCAAGAGCTGTGGGGGTGTAGTTAATCTGATTTGTTTAATTGCTGTTGTGTTGTGTGTCTTTGCATCCGTGCCGTGTAGTTTCCTGGGCAGTAATATGGTTTGAGCAGGGCAAAAAGTTGTGGTTGTACTGGAATCAGGCAAAATTCACAACTTTTTGCCCAGCTCTCTTCACTCTTCCAGACTGAGCAGGGATTTTCACTCTTTATTTCCAAGTTTAAAATGAAAAAGGAATATATCACTGGGGTTCCAGGAAATACATTGATCAAGTGAGGCAGGAAGGATGACTTGGCAATAAATTTCTCAGGAGATGCTGTTAAAGGATAAAAGAGCAAGGTCAAAATATATAAAGACAGCAGAATATTTGGCTTCAGGCCAGACAAAATCTGCCTGGCTGACACAGGATGATGTGGCCCCCTTTGGAGGGGAAGGCCAGAGATTCCTCAGGCAGCTGATTTTCCTTTCCCTGCTTCAGCCTGGCTGCTCAGGCTGAGCCAGCAAATCCCCAAAGGCCATTTCTGTGTCCTTGTGGCCCTCGGTGCTGGGTTTTGGGATGTGGCTCTGCCTGGGCTGCTCCAGAGCTGCCTCCAGCCTTGGTGGCAGCAGAGTTGGGGCTGTCCAGAGGGCACAGGGTGTGACAGGGTCACAGGGAGGGTGACAGTGGGAGCAGAAAGCTGGAGGGAGCCTGACCTGGGCACAGGAAAAGTGTCACCCTCAGTGCAGAGCTTCACCCAGAGAGGAAGGATGGGGAAATGTTAGAGGTGGGATGAGCATCCCAAACCTGTGCTGCATCCTCCCCCTGCCCCAGC